GCCTCGGCTCCCCTGAGGGGACCCAGGAGCCCCGAACGGGGGGGAAGAGGGGCTCTTCCCCCGTCGCTCCAGAGCCCTCCCTGCAAGGAGAACCGTTTCAAACCGAAATGTTCTCTCTCCCCTCGGCCCCCAGCTTGTAAATTGCAATTCTTCTGGAAACGGGCCTGGAAGTCACCTGTGCTGGGCCCCATGCAGCCGGTACGGGCTGTGCGCCTCATTCCCGGCAGGGAAGTCTACAAACACATCTTCGAAGATGAGGTAAAAAAACCCCAAAAAACAGGTAAAAGCCAAGTGAGTCAGTTAAGTTGGTCAGTTGTTAGCTGGCTGTTGAAGTGGTGACCTCAAAACAGAGGTCGGTTTCAACCTTTCTGGTTTTTGCTTGTTTTAGTAGAAAATAGTTGTGTTATCTTCAGCATGGGCTTTCTAATGCACCTATGGGTGCTTCTGCATCTTTGTTGTGTACCAGGTTACATTAACTGAAGGCAGAATCACTATAATGCAGCAGTAAAGATAAATTGAGAGGCATGGTAAGCCGCATTCAGGCAGTTCTCGCTATGCTGTTGACTTTCCTCGTAACCGTAAGCTAGGCACACAACTGAGTTTGCTTCAGTTTTCCTCTCTGAGGAAAGAGATTTCTTTTTTTCCTATCTTGAAAATAGCCTTGTATGAAAATTGTTATGCATAATGTTAGTTATTTTACCTTTCTCTTCTGCCACCATCCCGTTTTTTATCAATTATTTGCCCCATTTTTATCAATTATTTTGTCATTATTCTCATTCAGTAGGCTAGAAAGAATTCTAACCATTTTGATTATGGTTCTTTGAAGGTTCACTTAGTACATTCTTCAGATGAAGTAAGGAACAAGTCTAGGTTTTCTATGAAGAGTGAAAGACTTGCTTTGGTGAGGGATTCAGAAATTTCTACTGATGCCAGGCTACTACCATGTTACCAACAGAAGTGTGCTGAAAGAACGCCCTACAATGACTTCACAGAAAAGCCACCGCCGTACAGGTAAAGATCAGAGGCAGAAAAACCCAATTATATGTTCGTGACTATAGGTATGAAGTTATAAGGTTCGCACTGGGAGCTAGATGATTGTGATTTCTTAGTCAAAGCACTAAAAATTTGTAATAGATTGTCTCCTTGCCAGATGTAAATTAAGTATAATGAGCTGCTGCCTGTAAAGTGCAGATTAACAGGCTAATCTTTGTAATGACATACATATTTTATGGCTTCTCTTTTTAAAAGAAATTGTATGTCTTTTTTGTTCAAAGCAATCAGATACAAGTGCAGTCTGATATATATTTTTGAACTATATTTTAAACTGTGTTAATGGTTTACATGATGATGCAGTGTTTTTATGCAGTGAGCAAGAAAAGAAGTTAGTGCATCCATCCTTTTCACCCTAACTCTTCTCATGAGTAATAATACCCTTATTCTCACTTCCCCCAGGGAGAAACACAGTGCCCCAGCAGTAGGCAGATAAAGGCTATTTCCGCATTTCTAGATAGTTCTTACTTAACAGTTCATAGATTTTTATACCTTTTAGAGATAGTATGTATGTCTTTGTAGTTTACATCTGTTAAATCCAGCATTTATTGGTTTTTATGATGTCATAGCAGATTTGAGGTTGTGATCAACCCAGGATACATAATTACTCAGTCCAATTCATCTCAGAAGCAACATTAATTCTTTGAACCACATTCTTTGAAGTTAGAATGATGCTTGTGTTCACTTAAATGTTACATTTTGCCAATTAAGTTGAATATTATACCAATTGCAGATCCCTACTCTTACGTATTTAATACAAATCAAAGCTTTATTCTCTTTCTGTTTCAGCAAAGCTGCGACATTTCAAAAGACTTGGAAAAATGTAGATGTAAATGCAGCTGAGGAAGTCAGATCCCTACCTGATTTTGTTGGTAAAATTTATTTCCCTCAATGTCAGATATTTTAATTTGTGTTTTTAGGAGCCACCATACATATAATGGTTTTAGCTGAACAAAGTATAAAATAAAGCTCAGAAATGACCCGACACATTTTTGATGATTTGTAAGTAATTTTGAAGATGAAGAGTCTACTTGTAGAAAAAATGGTTGTAAAATTGTTGGTCAATAACAGTCAATGTTTAGACGTAAATTCCAGTTATGACGTAAGCAGATCTTATTGCTTGATTGAAATCCCAAATTAATAAAATCAAAGAAAATTTTAAAATAGGCTTTACTATTTTTAACGTACATTTGCAAAGATTTCCCTTCCTGTGGAAAGCTGCCACGCACTGTAATAGCTGCACAAGCCACAGAGGTCACAGGGTGGTTTTAGTGATTCATTGTGCATGCGTTATGCATTCTGCAGCAACAGTTCCAAGCGACATCATCCTCATTTCTTTCTTGGCAGTTCCTGAGGAAACGAAGAGTAATATCTTGGAACGCTTGTCAGAACGCCGACGAGCCCGTCATGATGAAGCAGTAACCTTAATGTATCATGAGCTTGCCTGCATTGCCAGGGTAAAACTGGATTTTGTAATCCAGGTAGTCTAGAGCACTATACTAAGGTCAGGGCCTAATATTCAAAAGATCAGACTGACTTCCTTACCTTTTTAGGAGATGGAACCCTTTGTTTTGGAGCCTGGAAAATTCCTTCTGACAAAACTCATGGAATCTGACAGAAAAATTGAACTTCTGTTTAAAAAGATTGAGTCTGACACTACTCTGGAAGGTTTCTCGATTGAAGTAAGGCAGTTCATGCCATTGTCTCATCTTCCGGTATTTGCATCTGGTCTGCGTAACATAGCTTCTTATGTTTTGCCTAGTTTTAAGATAGAATTTTTTTTCGCCACATTTACTTTTCAGTGAGATTGAGAATAAATCCTTCTTGCAGGATTTGGAAGAACTGTGGAATATCGTCCAGCAGGAA